GGAGGGGGGGCGGGGCGGCGGCGGCTGCTGCTGCTGGAGCAGGGCAGAGACCGTCGGGTCTCGGCCCGCACTAGGAGTGGAACAAGTAAGCGTGCCTGGGGTAAATACCCGCCCTTGGCTCCGCCCCCCGGGGGGGCGGGTAAATACCCCTGCCCCTCCCCCACTTGGTCAACTACCCCCTTTTCCGCGCCGCCCCTGGGGCGGCTTCTAGGAAGGCCCCAGTGCCGCGGTATTGCTTGGGGCGAATGGGCGAAACTCGCAGCCTGTTGAAAGCACAGTCCTTAGGCGGGTAAAGGTGGAAGGAGGGTCGGGGACCCCACGTCTTGGCGCCCCCGGCCCGAGAGGCGCCCGAAGTGCGGCCAGGGGACTAGAAGCTGCGGGATGTCGCGACCTAAAATGGTGTCCGTGCCCGGGGGTGGGGGCGGGGGAACTGGGCCAGGCCGGAGTAGAGCCCGCACCCCGGTCGGGCGGGGGTCAGCGGCCGGGCCCCGCCAGGGCTCGGGCTCGTGCCCCGGGCCTGCCGCGCGCCTTCGATCACACCCCAGTCTCGAGGGAGCATTGGGGAGTCCGCTCCGGGAGGAAGCTGCGCTGCGCTCGGAGGGGAGGGGACGAGGTCCGACCTGAGACCGACCCTGGCTGCAAAGCTGGGAGTCACGCCGAGCCCGCCCCCTCCCCACCCTCCTCTTCCCACGCGCCCCTCACTCTCAGGTAGTCGTGGGCCCCGAAGTGCTGTGCGGCAGCTCCCAGAGGGCCTGGCCTGGCCTGGTCGAGGCCCGGCCTTCACTTTGCACGCCCGTGGGAGCGAGAGAAGCGACGCGCGCCTCAGTTTCCCTGCAGCTTCTCCTGTGTACACCCCACCCCCTCCCCGCGCCGGCCCTCGGCAGATGGCAGGGACTTAATTCCGCCGGCTGCCCAGCTTGGCCGCAGCCTAATCGCCCCCGGCCGGCCTCTGGCCCCTCGCCCTCCTCTGCGCAGCAGGCCCTGTGCCTGAGCAAAGGGCGGTGGAGCCCCCACCCAACCCGGGCCTGTGCACCTCTTCCTGTTTAGCTCCTTCCTTTGGCTTCTGGGGAAGAACCGAGGGAAAAGGGGGCGGGAGAGACGGGCGCCCTAGAGACGGCGCTGCAGCTGCAGAGAGGCCTGGGCCGTGGGGTGGGGGAGCCTCCTCAGCCTTGAGCTCGCTGCTGGGCCGGTGGCTATCAGATGACCTCCAAGTCACTGGGAAGCCAAGGAGGGAGGTGGTCTGGGGAGGCTTGTTGGAATGCATTTTCGCATAGAGCCCACTGACTGTGACTCCCAGCCCACTTTTCTGAGGGCCAGAGTGGAAGGTGGCCCAGGCCTCTCCTGGTCTGGAGGGAGCCAAGCTGAGGAGGGCCCTAGTGATTCATCAGGGCAGAGGCAAGGGGCGGAGGGCTTTGTTTAAACCCAGAGTCTGCAGATTAAGTAGGGGTGGGGGTGAGGAGGACCCTGCCCTCCTCCAGTTGGTACCCTTTCCCCCCCTCACCTTGGTCCCTGCAGTGCCAGCTGCCACCTGCTGGGACTATCTCCAGTTACAGTCTGAAGGCTGGAAAGAGGTGAGAGAGTTGGCTCTGGGAAATGGTTTGCATCCTAGGCAGGGAAAGTGAGGCTGGCCTTCCTCCATACAGAAACACTTGTGAGGAGAACTAGTAGGGGACAGACCTGGGCCCTCCTGTAAGCTCTGAGCTGGCCTCCTTTAGTGTTACATAAATCTTGTGGGATTTTTCTTTTTTTTCCTTTTTTCTTTTTTTGCACTTGGCCAGGTTGGGTTGGGATGAGACTTCCCCAACTACTTGTTGCCAGAGAAAAATGGAAAAGGTGAGGAGTTTGAATGGGTGGATACCCTGTGGCGAGGAGCTCAGAATAGAAAAAAAACGAGTAGTAGGGGGCCTGGTACTTTTCCCTGGGGTGGCAGCTGTGCTGGATAAGCTTGTACCCTGGAGTTTTAGCCCTGAGAGAGCAAGATGGGGAGGCAGGAGGAGGGACTGGCTGGGGGAGGGCTGGGGCACTCTGGGGAAGGCAGGTGAGCAAGCAGCAGGTGTTTGTGACAGGAGAGGCCTAGGCTGGGGCCCTTGTGACCAGGCTGCTGTCACTGTTTTCCCCTCTGTCAGTCTTCCCTTTGTCTCTTTCTGTTTCTGTGTTTTCTTTCCCTCTTGGTCTCTTGGGCGATTTTCTTGAATCCATTTCTTTCTACAATCAAGCTAGATCTCCAAATGTCAGTGATGGCTGCAAATCCCTCAGATGTGACCTGACATGACCTCTGACTCTGGTCTGTGACCCTGGCCCTAGATGTCCAGTGTTTCATGCCTTCTAGCTTCTCCTGGACCTGACATGACCCCCTTTGGCCTCACTGTAATAAGAAGTTATATTCTGGGTCGATTTTCACTTTTACGATTTTGTATCATGCTCACGATAACCCTGGGGTACATGGCTTATTCTTCGCCTCTTTCAAACAAAAGTAAGGCAGTAAAGTAACTTGCTTATACAGCAGGCCTGTGATAGTGCTAAACTAGAGTCGTATCTTGGTGAATTCACTGTTCCTTTGTACACGTGGCCTTTCAGAACTCAGTGGACTCCAGAAGATCCATGAAAAGTATGCATTGATCGTATGATGGCACTAACGAGCCTTTAAACCTAGAGCGCTATGTACTTCTTCCTCCTCAATAATACTATCAATGAATCAGTTCGGTGCTGGGCCTAGGAGGGGATAAGCTGGTTTCAACCAGGACGCTTGTTGAGCTCCCTCGGCCTCTACTACCTTTTTCTGTATTTTTGAAAAGTCTCACTTTCTCTAGATTTTGACCCTTTAATATGCATGCTAACCTTCTTCTGATTTTAGGGTTTGGCAAACTAAGCACCTCTAGCAGTTCTCTGGGACTCACGCTATGGTGGAGGTGTGCCCAGGTTGGAGTGGGTTCTGAGAGGGGTGAATGTGGAGACCCTGAGGGAGGGGGGGGCCGGGGGCCTCAGGCCCAGACATCTCAGTTTCGTCTTTCTGTCTTCCTCAGGGCTGGGACCTGTCGCTATGGGGGATATGAAGACCCCTGATTTTGACGACCTCCTTGCTGCCTTTGACATCCCAGACATTGATGCAAATGAAGCCATCCACTCTGGGCCAGAAGAAAACGAGGGGCCAGGAGGCCCAGGGAAGCCAGAGGCCAGTGTGGGAGGTGACTCTGGAGATGCAGCAGCAGCTGCTGGGGATGGCCCTGTGGTTCCAGCCCAGGTCTCTGACCATGGCCTGCCACCACCAGACATTTCCGCTGTCAGTGTCATTGTCAAGAACACTGTGTGTCCTGAACAGTCTGAGACCCTGGCTGGTGGTTCAGGAGGAGAAGGGGCCCGGGTTGGGGGGGTAACTAAGGAAGGACCCGTGGGGTCCCGTCTGATGCAAAATGGTTTTGGGGGCCCTGAGCCATCCCTCCCAGGAGCCCCCCACTCGCCAGTTCCTCCCAGCAGTGGCACCTGGAAAGAAAAAGCCATGGAAGGCAAAGCTCCTTTGGACCTTTTTGCTCATTTTGGGCCTGAACCAGGGGAGCACCCTGATCCCCTGCCTCCCTCTGCACCCTCCCCACCTCGGGAGGGGGCCATGACCCCACCTCCTTTCCCCTCTTCCTTTGAACTGGCCCGAGAGAATGGTGGTGCTCTGCTGCCATCCAGTTCTTCTCCACCGCTAGGGACCTTGAAGCAGGGCAGCTGTAGCCCTCTCCCCTCCCAAAGCCGAGCCCGAAGGGGCTCAGGCTCCAGCCCCGAGGCCATAGGCATCCCAGCCAGTGCCTCGCCACCCCAGGTGACGGGTGTGCCCTTCTTCAAGCAGTCTCCAGGGCACCAGAGCCCTCTTACCTCCCCCAAAGTACCCGACTGTCAGCCCCTAAAGGAAGAAGATGAAGAGGAACCAGTGGACAAGTCCCCCCCAGGAAGTCCCCAGAGTCCCTCTAGTGGAGCTGAGGCTGCAGACGAGGACAGCAACGACTCCCCTGCCTCTAGCTCCTCTAGGCCCCTCAAGGTGCGGATTAAGACCATTAAAACGTCCTGTGGAAATATCACGAGGACGGTAACCCGGGTCCCCTCAGACCCTGAGCCTCCAGCCCCCTTGGCCGAGGGAACGCTCCTCGCCGAGGCTAGCATTTTGAAATTGTCTCCTGCAGCCCCGAACCCTGAGGGTCCAAAGGTGGTGAGTGTGCAACTAGGGGATGGCACGAGACTGAAGGGCACTGTGTTGCCTGTGGCCACCATCCAGAACGCCAGTACTGCCATGCTGATGGCAGCCAGTGTGGCTCGCAAAGCTGTGGTTCTGCCAGGGGGGACTGCTACCAGCCCCAAGACAATGGCTAAGAATGTGCTAGGCCTGGTGCCTCAAGCCCTGCCCAAGGCTGAGGGACGGGCAGGGCTGGGCACAGGAGGGCAGAAGGTGAACGGTGCCTCAGTGGTGATGGTGCAGCCTTCAAAGTCGGCCGCAGGGCCAGGTACAGGCGGGGGCACGGTGATCTCTCGGACCCAGTCCAGCCTGGTGGAGGCCTTCAATAAGATCCTCAACAGTAAGAACCTGCTGCCTGCCTATCGGCCAAATCTGAGCCCACCTGCTGAGGCTGGCCTGGCCCTGCCTCCGACTGGCTACCGCTGCCTTGAGTGTGGCGATGCCTTCTCGTTGGAGAAGAGTCTGGCACGACACTACGACCGCCGGAGCATGCGCATCGAGGTCACCTGCAACCACTGTGCTCGCCGCCTGGTCTTCTTCAACAAGTGCAGCCTGCTCCTGCATGCGCGTGAGCACAAGGACAAGGGGCTCGTCATGCAGTGCTCCCACCTGGTCATGAGGCCTGTGGCTCTTGACCAGATGGTGGGGCAGCCGGACATCACGCCCCTGCTGCCTGTGGCCATCCCACCTGCCCCAGCACCTCCGGCCTTCTCTGCCTTGGGCAAGGGTGAGGGGGCCATTGCCACCTCTGCTGTTACCACAGTTGCAGCCGAGGCCCCGGTGCTGCCACTATCCACAGAACCGCCTGCTGCCCCTGCCACCTCCGCTTACACGTGCTTTCGCTGCCTGGAGTGCAAGGAGCAGTGCCGGGACAAGGCCGGCATGGCGGCCCACTTCCAGCAGCTCGGGGCTCCTGCCCTTGGAGCCACCAGCAATGTGAGTTGCCTTTTTGTGTCCCTTCTCTGGGGAGAGGACGGCCAGATTCTGTGGGGATTGTGTCTGGAGGCATCGGGGCTTGGTTAGAAGTTATGCGGACAGGCCGGCCCTCGCCAACTCGCCTCATTCACCCCTGACAGGTGTGCCCGACCTGCCCCATGATGCTCCCCAGTCGCTGCAGCTTCAGTGCCCATCAGCGTGTGCATAAGAACCGAGCCCCCCACGTCTGTCCCGAGTGTGGGGGCAACTTCCTGCAAGCCAATTTTCAGACCCATCTTCGGGAGGCCTGTCTGCACTTCTCTCGCCGTGTAGGATACAGGTGCCTCATACCTTCCCCTAGTGCTGTATGCTCTCGTGCTACCTGGCACCTGTCTTTTAGGGGCCCCTTAAGAGACTCCCACCTCCCTTGCTGTGCCCCTCAGTCCTGTGCGTTGATGCCTTTAGCGCTACCTTCCTGTGGGGCAGCCAGGCCCCACAAGAGGGGTGAGCAGGGCCATGTGGCTCGAGCCCAGCTCTGCCTCAGCAGGCCCCTTGGGGCCAGGCCTCTGTGACTCTTTGCTCTCTCGTTGGTGCCTCTCCAAGTCCCTGAGAATGAGCGTGGGGTGGGGGTGTGCATGGAGACATCCCCTTCTCACGACAGTGCCCTGCTTCCTCCCCAAGGTGTCCCAGCTGTTCCGTGGTGTTTGGGGGTGTGAACTCCATCAAGTCCCACATCCAGACGTCACACTGCGAGGTGTTCCACAAGTGCCCCATCTGCCCCATGGCCTTCAAGTCTGCACCCAGCGCCCACGCCCACCTCTACAGCCAGCATCCAAGCTTCCACACGCAGCAGGCCAAGTGAGCCCTGGGGAAGGCGTGTGAGGGGGCATGAGCTGGGGTGGCTGGGGGTGGCCTCCACCACCCGCCGACGTCGGTACTGCCTTTCCGCTTTCACAGGCTGATCTACAAGTGCGCCATGTGCGACACGGTCTTCACTCACAAACCCCTCCTCTCCTCACACTTCGACCAGCATCTGCTGCCCCAGCGTGTCAGTGTCTTTAAGTGCCCGTCCTGCCCTCTGCTCTTTGCCCAAAAAAGGACCATGCTGGAACATCTCAAGGTATAGGAGCAGAGGGACAGGGAGGGGTGCTGAAGGTGTCGACCTGTGGCTACTACTTAGTCCTCAGGAAGTAGGTGTGGGGGGGAGAGGGCTTTGGCCAGGCTAGGCCGGGCCTTCCTCCGCAGTTGCCACCCCCGTCTCCCTCTTGCAGAACACCCATCAGTCTGGACGCCTCGGAGAGGAGACTGCTGGTAAAGGGGCTGCGGGTTCCCTTCTCACTCCCAAGTCTGAGCCTGAGGAGCTGGCTGTGTCTCGAGGAGGAGAAGCCCCCGCTACGGAAGAGTCTTCTTCATCCTCAGAAGAAGAGGAACTGCCCAGCTCCCCTGAGCCCCCGCGTCCAGCCAAACGGCCCCGACGGGACCTAGGCAGCAAAGGCGGCAAGGGCGGGGGGGGGGGGGCTGGGGGCTGGGCCGGGGGGC